CTTCTTTAAGACGCTCCCCTTCAGATGCCTCCTCAAGGGAGACTTGGAAGGTGCTAATGAGGGAGACGTCCATCTCCATGGTATTTCCCTCACAGCATCTCTCCAACAAGGCCCACCTGATACCAATATTGTTATATTTTTGACACCAGTCAAGACCTTCTTCTCTCAGGCATTTCACAGCATATGATGAGGTTTTAATCAGGTCTTAGGTTTTTCTTGTTGTTGATCGGTTAAAACTGTTTTTAGAAATATGTTTGAATGCACTTGTCTGTTTTTAAGGTTAAACTTTGTAAACTGCCCAGAGAGCTTTGGCTATCAAGCAGGAAAGAAATATAATAAGTGAGATGAAATGACTTGCTGGCCATCCTGCACTCTTGGTTTATTTGCCAAATCAAGACTCTGCCATGACAGCTTTCTAAAAATTCGGACAGGCAGGGAAGCACTGAGCGACACAGGTCAGGCAGGCGGTCAATTATCCGACATACCAGAAAAGCTGACAAATGCAAACCTGGGTCTGAGACTGCCAAGTCTTGAGCAGGCCAGCAGCAGCACTGAGACACTGACAGGGCAGGAAAATGAGGGAAGAGTCTGCACAGGCAAAGAGAACTTTTCTGTGTGATGCTGTCTGCTCCTCACCACCCTGAAACTGGATGAAGCACGAAACAGCACACTATGAAAAAGCTGATCCCAGTTTGCTTGATTTTGCCTTAGGACACCAATCCATGGAGGATTTTCAAGTATCATTGTTTATTTTCTGGAATGCGCCACCTATCAAAAATACCAATGCATGTGTGGGAACCATCAGAGAGAGAGGGTAGGCATCTCTTTGTGGAAATGCAAAGATCCACCTGGAACCCAGCTCCCCTGTGCTTGCCAGACTTCTTTTTTGCATTCAGCCCTGGACTAGGAAGTGAGCTGACCTAAGATTAAGTCTATGCACACTCGGGAACACTGGTGGGCCACTTCTTTGCATTAAATTTCAGACCCATTCTCCCTCTAAGCACACAATCCCCATGTGTCAAGCACAATGTGCACAACCCATAGCCAGTGCATTCCACAGCACTGCCCACAACGTGCGTGCAGTGCAGCATGTATGCAGGAGACTTATTTTATTTTATTTTATTTTATTTTATTTTATTTATTTATTTATTTAAAGCTTTTATAAACCGTCCCTATACTAGTGTCTCGGGATGGTTTACAACAAACAACAAGTAAAATAGAAATTAAAAATAGCACAGCATGCAGTATAAAATACGTTAAAACCAATTAGACATTAAAATGATGGGAGAATAAAAAGGCATGTGTGCAAGCTGGCTTGCTAGCAATACCGATGCATCTGTAGGCATTACTGTCTTTGCACCTGTAGTGCAATATGCAACTGTGGACTTGCTCAGTGAAACACAGACTTAGGGAAGCCAGAAAGTGGGTCCACGGAGCTGAGCAAGAAAAGCCCAAGAAAAGCCCAAACTAGATTCCTCATATGTTGGGGGTAATGATATGGGAAGGAGAACTGCAGGAAGGATGCAGTGAAATCAAAAGATGGGATGGGTGACATGTCCTGCCAGGCATCTGAATGTTTAGAACCAGAAGGCAAGTATCAGCCAATCAGAAATAAAACTAGTATGCGGCAAACATCCTCCAATGTTAGCTTTCTGGCTGAAATGTTGCCATTTCTGGAGGGAGCAAAATCCCCCTCCCCACAAAAAGCGGTTTGTATGAATAGCCAGTTTCCCTGTCTTGACAAATGCCACTGCTTTTCTTGCCTGCTTCTTCTCTTCCCCACCCCAGAAGACTCACATGAGCAATCCAGCCAGTCAATTAGGAGTCCATGTAGTGAAGGGCATAAAGACAGGTCATGACACTGCCATTAAATGTGGTTATGTGAAGACATCACTGAGGGGAATGGTGAATATCAGCACTGCTTCCTGGATGAATCACATGGGTGATTCCACCTAATCAGGGCTCACAAATGGAATGATATCATAAAGCACCACAGTCAATCAATCTGGGTATGTGATAACTTCACTAAAGGGTAGGAAAGCAATTCATAAGGATAGCAAGTGAGCAGAGTGCGGGGGTAGATATTTTTAATTTTTTTCTGCATGTCAAAAACTGAAAAAGAGGAGTGGGGCTGGCATGCTCAACATCACTTGCAAATAACAGTGAGCAGTCTGGACCAAGCTCTATTTCTTATGAATCTTGCATCAATTAGCCAGGAGATAAGGCAACTTTGGGATGCAGGCGGCACAGTGGTTTAAACCACTGTGTTGCTGGGCTGGTTGATTGAAAGGTCGCTGGTTCGAATCTGCACAACGGGGTGAGTTCCCGCTGCTCCGTCCCAGCTCCTGCCAACCTTGCAGTTCGAAAGCATGCAAATGCAAGTAGATAAAAAGGTACCACTTTGGTGGGCAGGTAACAGAGTTCTGTGCACTTTGGTGTTTAGTCACGCTGGCCACATGACCACGGAGACTGCCTGCGGACAAACGCTGGCTCCCTCGGCTAGGAAATGGAGATGAGCACCGCCCCCTAGAGTCAGGCATGACTGGACTAAATGTCAAGGGGAAACCTTTACCTTTACCTTTTTTTTAAGGCAACTTTGGGCCATTCACTTATTTCCTACATTTTGAGAAGACCTGCTTAGGCACACTTAGCAAATGCATCCCAAGGATCGCTGAGTTGCTGAAGCGGAGCATAGTTGGGAGCTTTCATCATCCTATTCCAAGCCAGCCTGTTGCACAGCGAGGATCCCAACACCTCCTATCATGTGTTTCCTGCCAGCAGCTAAGCTGTAGGGGAAGCATTTCAAGTATTTAAAATGGAAAAAGTCTGCACAAAACCCGGGAAACCACACAAAGACTGGCAATTGGGAAAGGGGATGGAGTCAGAGAAAGTGGCATGGCCATTTGGGGAACCCCTGTGGGCTGGATATGGTCTGCAGGGTCCAAGTGCAGCATCCGGATGCAGATGTTCATTTATACTGCAAAACAGTTTCAGAGACTCTGATAGAAAGTGGTTCCATCTCCATAGCTATTCATCAAGCTAGCATGTTAGGTCATCTTTGCTAAGCTGGAAAGCTGCAGGCCTGCAGCTGGATGGGTGACTACGTGTGGGAGTAGAGGAGGGAGTTGGACTCAATGGCCATATAGGCCCCTTCCAACTCTACTTCTCATCTCATCTCTTCTCATACCCATTCCCTTCCTGCTGGTTGCTAATTTCTCAGCATGGAAGACTTGGTCAGAAGGGATTTTGAACAGACAGAAGTCAGGAAGGAAAAGGCTCAAGTAATGCCTTTCCCCCACCCTATCACTCTTCCCATTCTTGGTCACAGTTTCTTACTATGGTGACTTTGGATTCTGAAAAAGCAAACCTTTGGGAGAAAGGACCATGCCCCTGTGCATCCTCACTGGCCATCTAAGCCTTAAGTCTACTGCCAGAACTGCAGGATGCAAAGCCAGAAAAATAAATAAATAAATAAATCAGAACAAAGCAAACAAACAGAGTCATTTATTGCATCTTGGCCTTGTCCTCAGCCCCATCGAAAGCAGGATATGAAAGAACCAAGCCAGCTTGGTCTCTGAATAGTACAGAACTGATGGGTAGAATTCTGCTTTGAATCTGGCCAGGTTCTGTGGCTGGGTTTTCAGCCCAATGCCATCTACATCTTCTGAGGTGCTCTGCATCCCAACCCATATGGTGTTATCTAGGGCAGCGGTGGCAAACCTATGGCACGCGTGCCACAGTAGGCCCTCTCTGTCAGCATGTGACTCAAGTCACCCCACCATCGCCCCAGCAACCGAGCACATAGGGGCCATGAGCATGCTCGGAAAGGAGGAGTGGTGCCAAGTGATGACATCAAGAGCCTCAACTCATTAGTTGCAATGCGTCCAAGCTTTCACATGGCCAGTCAGTGTGCTGCCAAGGACATATATATATATATTTGCTAGGACTAGCTGTGAGTTGTTTTTTTCTAAACTAAAACCTCAGTATTCAGGTTTGATTGCAGTGTTGGCACTTTGTGATAAATAAGTGGGTTTTGGATTGCAGTTTGGGCACTCGGTCTCCAAAAGGTTTGCCATCACTGATCTAGGGCCTGCTCCAGGCATGTGAGGGCCCCAGTATTGTGCCATCTGTGCTTGTGGATTTCCACTCCAGCAGGTGGTGCCCAACCCTCCTGGGAGAACCAGTCCTCTCATTGCTAACCATGTGGATACATCTTACTAGAGAATCAACCCCCAGGAGCTGCAGACGCCACTCATAAGGTATCTGAAGAAAGGGCATTGCAGAAAGGGCTGTGGCAGCCCATAAGTCATTCGCTACAGCAGAGGCAGTGGGCCCCAGCAGACGTCTCTGACGACTGGCTGTGCTGAGTGTGGTTGATGGTGGTAGTCCAAGAACAACTGGTGGGAACTCCCCACTCCTGGACTAAGGTGTTGGGGACAGGGCATTAGGCAGCATCAACACCTTTCTAGAATCGAGCAGCAGAAAGAACAGGCCAGCTGTGATAGCCTTGGGGTGGGTGGGGAGAGCTGTTCTGGAGCTTCTGAGATGGTCTCTTCCATGCACATGACAGAGAATGGCACAGGCCACGGCACTCTCTGGGTAGTTTGACTTTCGTCTCCCATCAGTCCCAACAGCATGGCCAATGGCCAGGAAAGGAGGGTGCTCTTGTCCAACACATCTGTGGGGGACCAGCTTGGGGAAGGCTGGACTAGGGTGCCACCAGGAAGGTGGTTCAATAGTGCAGCCTGAGCAGGTCTTTAGGATCCGGTGCTTTCCCACCACCCAAAGGCCTGCCTGTGTCCACATCAGAATGGCAGAAAACGGCAGAGATTCCAATTTATGCATCATTTGATCTTTCTCTACGGCAGCTTCACCGAAGGGTGAGAGGGCAATGTGTAGCGAGAGCAAAACAGTGCTGTGTCAGGGTCAATGAGCGCTGTCACACAGCACATGAAAAACAGTGACAAAGGGGAGATGGTTTGGACATGGCCTACTCTCACCTGGTGATGACTGGTCACTGCTCAGGACCAAGGTAGCGGGTGTTGGGCGACGTCTTCGGATCTGCAGAAACACAGAGAGGTGGCCAAGGTGAGTCATGCATAATCAGGTGAACATGAAGCACAAGCTGTCACTGGACAGGCAGAGGCTCAGAGGCCACTGTTTCCAGTAGAGGTTGCATATACTATTTTATTTTGCTGTATTCATGTCCTGCCTTTCTTCCAAGGCCTTTTGGTCAACAGCCACCATTCTTTCCCCTGCCTTTATCTTCACAACAACCCTGTGAGGTAGGGTGGGTAGACAGGTCACCCAAGTGAGCTAAATGGCTGGAAGGGGGATTTGAACCAGGGCCTCCCTAGCCCTAGACTTCCCTAGCTGGATGCTCTCCAGAAGTGTGGTAGAATAACAAGCTACTGCCAGTGACAGGAGACACGGATATCCTGTCTTCACAGCTTCATCTTCAAAGAACAGAAAGAAATATAAGTGGCTGGAGAACCATCTCCCTACCTCCCAGGATTTTTATTCTCCAAGTCTTTGCCAAGGCAGAGGAAAGCAGCCACAGACTGGGGTTCTGGAGGCAAAAGCTGGGGGCTGACCAAAACTTTGGCGGCAGAACAAAGGAAGGGCCTTCAGAGTGAAAGAACAGGCCCCTTCAGATTGCAGTCCTATCTTAGCTTGGTCTATCCAGAGCTCACCCCTTTCATTCCCTGACTCTGAACTCAAGCTTGACTACCAACTGCTTATTTTGGCAGCCACTCACACACTGGATATCCACTTCCAGGTCTGATTCAAGTGCATATTTGACTCTCAAAGCCCTGTAAGGCTTGGATGCTTCACATCTCTACAGAACTGCACATCTAAAACTCTACACTGGTCCTTCTCCAGCTGGCTGACTTCCAGTTATTTTGGATGACAGCTTCCATCATCCCTGACTATTGGCCATGCTGGTTGGGACTGAAGGAAGTCCTGTGACAAAAAATCTGGAGGGGACAACACTGGGGATGGCCGCCCTGTTTGGCATGGGGCCAGAGTTATTCTTCTACCCTCCCAATGAAACAGTCCACACACGACTGTGAGGCTTCTTTGGCCTCTTTCATCAGACAAGTTTAAATAAAAGGTGACAGGGTATGGGCCTTCTTTGTGGTGGTACCACAAATTTGAAACAACTTCACAGCTGTGTAGGTGTGGTTGGGCACCAGACAAAAACATCTCATTCCACTTGAGCATTTTAAAGGTAGCATTTGTGTTTCAATGCTATCTGCTTGAGAGTTCTTTATTTTCAGTCCAATATTGTGACTATCTAGAGTGTTTTATCATCCACTGCTGCTTTTGTGCTGTTTCTGAGTTGTTTGTGGCTTCTAAAATTCATTTTCATGTATTGCTGGGAATGTTAGATGTACTATCAAATATTTTTTTGTAAGCCATCCAGAGACTTTAGTATTGGACAGCATATTAAAAACATTAAATAAATAAATAGGTATAGTATTAACTATATTTATTTCTCCAGAACTACTTTCTGAAGAATATGCTTAAAATAAATAAAGGTACAATCCTATGACCTCCCAACATTGTCTTGGAGGCCATAGGATTCTTTGGAGTCTTAGCTCTCCAAAGGACAAAGAACCCAAAGGACAAGACCTTGTTCCACTTTCTCACAGTTGGCACTGGAAGCACCACATTGTCTGCTCCCTGCCCCAGGCTGCAAATGAGCCTTGGAGAGGGAAAAGGAGAATGCTGAAGCAGGGAGGGGAGGCGGTTTGGGCCACAGACTTCTGTCAATTCTAACTGTCACCCCAGTCCCTTTCCCATCCTGTTCCTGGTGCTAAATCTAGACAGACAAAAAGGCCATCTAGAGAAACTGCAGGTGGTGAGGTGCAGAGGTTTATATGCTTCTGCTGCAGGGTCGATATGACTGCACCCAAAGTATCTCAGAACCACCATCATCCCCTGCTCAGAATCGATCGTGGCCAATCGAACCTGGTGCAGCAGAAATCCCCTCCCATAATTATATGTCCAGGAGGCTCTCTTAAATAATATCTGCACAGAGATTTTGCAATAATTCATAAAAATGGTGTTGTGTGCTAGTTACAGAGATATTATTTAAATGCTGCACTAAAATATGCTTCCATTATTTTATGTATGGGCTGGTATTGTCGGCTAACCTTGCAGATCATGAGCCAACTTGAACAGCATTTCCTTTGTGGAGAGGCATGAGACGTATACATTAGCCTAACCTCATCTAATCTAATTTGCAACAGACATTCAAGGCCACCTGGTTAGGATGGATCTGAATAAGGACATTCATAACAGACATCACCCCATCTCCAAGGATGACATCTGCAGGAAGAACAGCATGATTTTTATGGCCTCTCCGAACACCCAACCATCCTGCTAGCCCTGGTGGAGGTAGATACTGGCACTCTGGGATGGGGAAGAAATTTGTTCAGTTTGCATTTTAATACGAATTTACTTCATTTTTCACTTGTGAAGCAGTGTACAACTAAAAGTATCTATAGACATCTTGCACTTCTCCATATTTTGTAAAGAAGTCATCCAGTTTAAAAACGCACACAAAATGCACGTATAAGAGGAAACACTGTTAAAGTGCTTTATGTTAGGAAACGTGCTTGGAAAAAATTATAAATCAGGCAAAAAGCATACCAAGATGTATGGATTAGGAGAAATGTACTAAAATGGCTAAAGATAATTCAGCTCAGTGTGTCTGTGTGTGTGCACATGTGTGTATTAATCTTCTGTCTCTCTCTCACACAAAAAGTTTGACACAAATTTAAGATTGAAAAATGGAGTGAAACAGATACAGAAAGATTCATCCATTCCTTATTAGCACTTTTTCTCCACTGCTACCAAGCAAAAGAGTGATCTTCCATATCCCAGCAATTACACATGAATGGAAAGTGGTACCCCTTGAATTTTAAAAGTGGATCACAAACACCCTGAGCCTTCCCAAAATCGAGAACTGCCACTGGTCAGAAACCACCTGGTCTCAGAGGCCGGCAAAGCTCAGATTCCTCAAAAAGAAGGAATGGCTCTTAACCCAATTACTAGTATAAATGTACCTGTCAGAATCTGACTTCTGTCAAGGCAGAAATCTCAGTAAAACCTTTTATTGCAGTAATTCCAGCAATTAGCTAGAAGCCTTTACAGTCCCAATAAAGATCTTCAGTTGACTGATCGCAATGAAGTTGTGAGAGAATTGTGTTGTGAACCTCACAATAAAAGACCCAACTTCCTTGGATTCAGCACACAGAACAAGTCCCAGTGAGATCACCGCTGTAGCAGGATTACCAGAATCTCAGGTTAGCAATACATTGTTTCCGGCAAAGTTAACTGTACATTGTTCTGGCTTAATAATGGGAGTGGCCACCAAAAATCTCTACTGGAGAGTCAATCCCAAGCTTTTACTGCACTTCACTGGACACCCTTGCCCTGCCCTCATTAGGGGACACTAAAGGAGACACTGCTGCAGAGACATCCTGCTGCTGCCCAGCTACCAAGGAACAAGCAACTGTTTGAGAAACAGTGAGACCACTGCCAAGGGAAGGGCTTCCAGCTGTGGAAAACGGGCAGTACCGGTGTCCTGTGTCTCACCCACACCTGGCTTGTAAACCAGTGGGAGGTCCTCGTGAACTGCGTTTGCACAAGGCTGGCTTCCCAGGACTGGATCTGACTTTATGGCTTCCCCTGCTGAGTCAGAAGGGGCATCACAGGCTCTGGCTCCCCTTGTCTGCAGGGAGAAGGCTGGCCCTCAAGTACGACGGGCTGCATTATACCCCACCCAAAGGGTAGCTCTCCGTGTGACCCTCAACAATCTGGAGACAGCAGCACATTCCCAAAAAGGCAACAATCTGCTTGTGGCAATATCAGATCCACCTTTCCTCCCCTCTGCATTTAATGCTGCTGAAGATGGCAGGTGCTCCCTGTCGCCTGTGGAAAATAGCTAGCAAAGGCCGATTAAATGGCAGCCAAGGTATGAGCTGCTTATCGCTGCCTGAATTGCTGCAGCTTTTCCATTAAGAGAGCTTCTGAAGCTGCCAGGAGGTGTGAATTACACAATTTTCTTTGGGGACAACTTACACCATCCCTCCCTCCGTCCCTCCCTCCCTCCCTCTCTCTGTCTCTCTCTCTCTCTCTCTCTCTCTCTCTCTCTCTCTCTCTCTCTCTCTCTCTCTCTCTCTCTCTCGTGTGTGTGTGTGTGTGTGTGTGTGTGTGTGTGTGTTCATCAGAACTATTGAGCTAGACAGCCCCTTTCAATCCATCCTTTGTCATTTCATGGCATTTAATTCGAGCTGCTGAAGAATTTCTCTAAATAGCAGTCTAACATATGCTTTGGAGGGATGCTTAAAGTTGCTTACTTTACCTTTCAAAACAGTTAAACACCCATAGCAATCAGAAGGAGAGTGATGTTTATTATTAACAATTACGGTTACTTGCTAAATTTTAAATCTATACTACATTTCTAAATAATGTGATAAAATACACAACAGTGAATAAACACACACTTTTACAAATAAATATTAAGTGATAAGTAATAAAAGGTTTAATATTATATAGAATTTTTCAGGGAGAAATCCTGGGATTCCTGGGAAAGCATCTCAGGGGACCACAGCGGCAGCAGCAGCAGCAGCATCAATAGTAGTAGTAACTTGGATCCTAAACACATGAGCAGAAAAACTTGTATGAAGGGGACTTTGCACAAGTCCTCCTCCAAAAAAATTGTGCACCAGCTCCTTGAATTGCTCCAGATAATCAGATAAATGAGGAATGAGGTGTGTGGGGCTGGTTTAGCAAAAATCAGGGAGACATAAATTGCCAAAAGTGTGGTAGAGACACTGATCAAACTAGCTGTGCTTATGCTACTTAAAATCCAGGCCAGTTTCTACAAAAAAGGTGTTGAACTTCTTTTAATCTAACAGCTGAATTCCATAGTAGGTGAAGGTTTTGGGGTGCTGGGAGTGGAGCTGAAGCTAAAACATGGCAGGGCCAAAATACCAATATATTTTAGTTTAAATCTCTTACTGCCAGTAAATAAGCCTCAAGAAAGC